CTCCAACTCCTGGGCTCAAGCAAGTCTCCTGCCTCAGCCTCCCAAGTAGCTGGGACCACAGGTGCCCGCCACACCCCCTGGCTATTTTTTGGTTGCAGCCATCATTGTTGTTTGGCGGGCCGGGCTGGATTCGAACCTGCCAGCTCAGGTGTAGGGAAGGTTGAGAACCACTGCTCTAGGGGATGATGAATCTGCACAGGAATCTGTAGCATTTTGACTTAACTTTTTAAATGTTATTTTTTAAACTTTAATAAAAATCAGTGTACATACTGTATGTGTTATATGTCAAAGTGTTAGAGACCATTGATAAACTATTAAATTCCGCAGCTGTGTTAGTTCATTTAGGGAAAAACTTTTATATAAAGCCTCACCTACCAGGTTAAATGAAGAATTGAAGACTGTTTCATGGTAAGCCCCTTTTTTTGGTTTGTTTTTTGAGATAGAGTCTTACTTTGTTGCCCTCGGTAGAGTGCATGGTGTCACAGCTCACAGCAACCTCAGACTCTTGGGCTTAAACGATACTCTTGTCTCAGCCTCCCAAGTAGCTGGGACTACAGGCGCCCAGCACAACACCCAACTATTTTTTGGTTGTAGCTGTCATTGTTGTTTGGCTGGATTCGAACCCACCAGCTCCAGTGTATGTGGCTGGCACCCTCATTGCTGAGCTACAGGCACCAAGCCAGTAAGCTCTTTTGTTGTTGTTGTTTTGTTTTCTTTTTGAGACATAGTCTCACTCTGTTGCTCAGCATCAGCCTACCTCATAGCAACTTCAAACTCCTGGGTTCAAGTGATCTTCCTGCCTAAGCCTCCCAAATAACTGAGACTACAGGTACCCTTCACAACACTGGACTAGTTTTCTATTTTTAGTAGAGATAGGGAATCACTCTTTTCAGGCTGGTCTCCAACTCCTGAGCTCAGGGGAATTCTCCTGCCTCAGCCTCCCAGAGTGCTAGGATTATAGATGTGAGCCACCTCACCCTGTTTGGGTAAACTATTTTAAATGAGCAAGGCCATTAAGCCCAGATTCAAAGAGAGGGTCATAGTCATTGCCTTCTAGTGTGAATGAATTTCATCACGTCTGAAACCATGACAATTATGTAACTACCTATCTGTGTGAATCAGGATTTTCTCAATACTGTGCAATCCAATACAATAATAAACTAGATACTAAAATAAATAAATAAATTAGATCCTGCATTTGATAAAAGTGCAGTTGTCACGTATTATATAATTCCTGCCTTAATGTTTTAAATGTCAATCAGCTTCTTTGTTCTTATTGAATGATTTTATAATAAACTATAAAATTCAATTTGTAAATGCATTCTAATTGCTAATAGCAAGATTAATTTTTTTAAAAAAAAGTGTTTGGTGCAGGCCAGGCCCTCTGGCTCATGCCTGTAATCCTAGCACTCTGGGAGGCCCAGGCAAATGGATTACTTGAACTGAGGAGTTCAAGACCAGCCTGGGTAAGAGTGAGACCCTGTCTCTAAAAAAATAGCCAGGCATTGTGGCAGGGACCTATAGTCCCAGCTATTCTCAGGAGGCTGAGGCAAGAGGATCACTTGAGCCCAAGAGTTTGAGGTTGCTGTGAGCTACGACAGCACAGCACTCCATTTAGGGCAACAAAGGGAGACTCTGTCTCAAAAAACAAACAAATAAAAATGTTTGGAAACTCCTGTCATAAATAATCTCCCAGGGTCTGCATCTGTGAGTGTCATGGACCTGAGGCACTGTAAGACTGACTCTCCCTAGAGTGCTTTAGGAAAAGAGAGCTTGCTACTCTGAGCAGCTCTAAATTCTCAGGGACTTACCATTTTAGGACTTAGCATCCAGTTTGGCCCATCACAGACATTTCCCAGTTAGTTGAAATACTGCCTTTAGCACCCTTTGGTGCTCAATGACCTTGACATTTTCCCCAATAGCCTAGAAGCTCCATGAGGACAAAGGGCATGCCAGCCTTGTCACTGCTGTGTCCCCCCAATGCCCAGGATAAACCTCTAAACATTTGCTAATTCCCTGTCAGGGACGCTTGTGGAGACCACACCTCTCTCTCTGCACCTCCTGGTCCGCCCTCCTCTGCTTCCCCTATGGAGACAACTTTCTTTTCAGGGGGAAGCCCTGGAAACCTGAGTGTCGTCTTCATTCCCCACTGGCTAGTTGTCTATGGCTCCAGCCTTTAGGGGAAATGTTTCAGTTTTCTCATCTGTTCAAGGAATGAAAGCAGTCTGCACTGTTGAACTTATGGGTTTGTTTCTTGAAAGCAAAGCTGTGGACACAACTGAACTACATTTTAAAATAATTGTTCAGGCTCGACGCCTATAGCTCAACCGGCTAAGGCGCCAGCCACGTACACCTAAGGTGGCGGGTTCGAATCCCCAGCCCGGACCCGCCAAACAACAATGACGGCTGCAACCAAAAGAAAAAATAGCCGGGCGTTGTGGCGGGCGCCTGTGGTCCCAGCTACTTGGGAGGCGGAGGCAGGAGACTCGCTTGAGCCCAGGAGCTGGAGGTTGCTGTGAGCTGTAATGCCACGGCACTCTGCCCAGGGGGACAGCTTGAGGCTCTGTCTCAAAAAAAAAAAAAATAAATAAATAAAAAATAATAAAATAAAATAATTGTTCAGATTTGAGGGATTTGGCCTCTTGGCCTACTTGCTCTGGCTATGGAGGCCAGTTCAATATCTATGGCGAATGTATCCTGCTTTGTAAGCTTACTTACTCTCTAAGTCTATCTTCCTCTTCCTCAATAAACTTTATTTCATGCTTGCCTTATACAAACAAATTTGATCAGTGGGTAGGGCACTGGCCACATACACAGAGGTTGGCCGAGTCAAACCCGGCCTAGGCCTGCTAAACAACAATGACAACTACAACAAAAAAAATAGCCAGGTGTTGTGATGGGCACCTGTATTCCCAGCTACTTGGGAGGCTGAGGCAAGAGAATCACTTAAGCCCAAGAGTCTGAGGTTGCTGTGAGCTGTGATACTATGCCATGACAAATGAGACTGTCTCAAAAACAAACAAACAAATTTGAGGTATTCTTACCCTTTTGCTTTTATTTCAGCCACAAACAGTAGAAACTCACCTACTGGGTGGGCCTGGGTTGGGCCCCAGCTCGTCTCAGGTTTATAAGCTGGATACCCCTCCAACTCACACAGCCCCTCTCACTGTGTACCTCTTTGTGTACCCAAATGTGGTTTTGATCCAGCCAGGTAGGATATGCCCCCATAGGCACCCACACCCATGGTCCTCCTCTGGCTTTCCAATCAAATCTGTACACCCCTCCCCATAGGTTCCATGCCTATTCCTCTTGGGGGTTCTTGCCAAGTCAACCAAGACCAAATCGCCTCCCTCCTCCCTCAGCCTGCACTTGACCCTACTTGCTGCTGCATTTCACTGTTCACTGTATTTTCACACGCTGTTGACCGTTTCTGTGTATTTGGCTTCCCCAGTGAACAGGAGCACCCTGGGCTATGGGGGTACAGTCATATTAGATGTTGATGAGCTTGACCAGCAAGGTGATCATTTTGGGGGGGGGGGGTTTCTGCTCCCATTGCAGAGCCCCTAAAGGGGAGGAGGTAGATGGGGCCCTGCCTAGACCAGCCTCTGCTTCTGGGCTGGGTTGGGGGAACAGGAGGAGCTTGAGGGCTGTCTCTTCACACTTCCAACTCCCACGTGCCCCACTTGAACCTTCATTCCCCCCAATGTCATCTGTCCCTCCTACCCAGGTCTGGTGGTTCATAAAGGACAAACAGATTTAGGGACCCAATGCAATCTTTTAATTCCAAGCAGAGTCCCCCTCCCCCAGCATTATCACACACACAGTGGAAAGGGCTGCCAGGCTCCGGGTGGGAACAAAACCCGACCTGGGCAAAAATATAGATATAATTATATACACATGTGTACTTGGAAAGAAGTAGAGCTGGGAGTGTGACTAAGGAAGGGCAGAGAGTTAGATGAGGAAAGCAGCTGGGGGGCCCAATAAATACATTCTTTAGAGAGCATAGTGGAGGTGCGTGGGAACAGGTGGGAGCTGGTAGCCAGGACACTCAGGAATGTGCCACCCCTCTGGACCCCATCCAAGGGAGGCTCAAGGCCTGGCCTCTGCCCAGTACCTGGCTTGCACTAGAAGGTGGAACTCCTGCTGACTTGGCCTGGAGGCGGGCAGTGGGTTGGGGCTGTTGTAGGTAGCATCCCCCTCTATGCCAAGGCTTCTGGGGAAGCCATGAGCTGAAGCAAGAGGCTTCGAAGCAGAGCAGAAGTCAGGGCAAGCTGGAGGGCAGGGCAGCCTCCCTGCTGGAGTTAAGAGATGTAGGAAGCCCAGGCACAGGGGAAGCTGACAGGAGTGGGTAGGGGGTGCTGGGTGGGCTCACACAGGGGCCACTGCCTGGCTACTTCCTACCCATTGCTCAAGACAGCTGCCAGGCCTGACCACCATGTGCCCTTTCATTTCTCCTCACCCTCTGCTAGGGACCTCTGGCTGGGGGTGAGGGACAGGGAGAGGGCACAGACATTAACTCTGTGTGTGCTAGAGCCCCGTCTGGGTTGCCCTGTGCAGTGAGGACCAGGGGAGAGAAGAGGAGGCAGTCTGGCTCCTCGTGGCCAGGGAAGTCCAAGCCGCAGTGGCCAGGCCTGCAGGGGCCTCGGCTCCCTCTACCTGCGTCTGCCCCTTCCTCTCCAGCCTACCAGGGGAAGAGGATGCTTTGGGATCTAGTGACCCCAGCTCCAGCGCCCTCAAGCAGCAGGGGCAAGGGAGTCAGTCATGGAGGGGGGCCCTCAGAAGAGAGAGGCCTTCTTCTTGAGTTCATTCCGCTTCCACAGGGCCAGCTTGCTGAACTCTTCGGGAGACATAGCAAATACCCTTGAGAAGTCCTCAGCGGATAGATGCCTCTGCAGGGGGCATATGAGGGTGGCTCAGGGGAAGGAGCCACAGGGCAAGGGCTATACCAAGCAACTCAGGGAACATTCAGACAAAGAGGCCCCAGGTCTTCCCCACTGACAACTCTGCACCCACTCAGTTCATCTTCCCCGAATACCTCAAGCCTCATCCGATCCACGCCTGGAGGCAACTTGGTTCGCCCCTTGTTGGTCACCACCAGCATTTCATAAGGATAGATCTGGGAGTGAGGGCAGGGGGCAATCTTAGGCTCATGTCAACTCAGCCTCCTCAAATCCCCCAGGCCCCCCTCAACCTGCAGAGGCCAGTGGGGTTCATGCCATTCTGCCCTCTGTCTCCCCCAGCTTCCCTGCTGTCCCTCCCATCATCAGTGCAGGGTACCCCCACAGCGCATTCAGCTTCCTGGCGTGTCCCAGCCGCCCGCCCGCTGTGGTACTTGGGTCCCTGCCCCTCACCTTCTGCTCCAGCACACAGGGCAGGGAGTTCCCCCGGTCCATCCTCCCCCTCTGGCCCTCTCCATTCTGGGGAGACCAAAGCTGCAGTGAGCCAGAGTGGGGCGGGGAGACCTTCCCAGCCTTACCCCGGCTTCTCATGGCTTCACCAGGCAATTCTGAGGCCCCACTCCCCATCCCCCACACGTCCAGTCGCCTGGCCCGGCTTCTGGTGTCCACCTGTTCCCCTCCGGGAGGTGCTCACCTGCAAGCCTGTGTGAGGGAAGGGTCACTGTTTAGAGGCAGTTCCAAGGCCAGCAGCTGCCTGACCTGGTCAGACCCTTGCCTACATCCAACAAACTGTCCTCCTTAGGGGCCTGCCCAAGCCCCTTTCCCAGCTCCCCAGTGGCAGGTCCCACCTCTCACCTGGGCTTCCAGTCTCACTCCCCGATGGGCTGAAGTCTGTGGACTGTAGCTGCAAAGGACACGAAGCTGTCAGAGGAAGCTGGGGACATTTCTCATCAGTCCCCTTCACTTTGAGGGTGCCCCCGCTCCCAAGGATGCACAATGGCTCAGTCCCTCAGAAGTACCCCATGCCCCTCACAATGTCCCCATCTGCGGTCTGCAGACCTTACCCGGCTCAGGGTGGTCCTGCCATAGGCCGGGAGAGAGGAAGACTTAGAGGTGCCTGCATGCAAGGCTGGAAGAGAGCAAGAGGCCCTGTGTTCAGTTCCTGTGGCCCTGATGGCCCTCCCTCTGCCTGGCAGGCACAAAAGAATGACACAGTGCTGGCGGCTCTGAACTGCCTCTACCACCTTCCCTTTCCTCCCTCTTCTAACTAGAAATGGCCCAAAATGCCTGAGTGTGCGAATCAAAGCCAGCCAACGCCGAGGCTCCCCATCAGAAAATGAACTCTGGATTAGACAAATAAATCTAAAGTCTAAGAACTGAGTTATCATAATCTTAGCAACAACATTACTAATCAAATTCTAAACATTGTCTCAGCACTGCTGGCTGCTCGTTTGGACCAGCAGTCACTCCCCGTCACATCAGCATCACAGGATGTCACTTTCAGCTTGCACAGTTAATAGGATCTCTAAGCTTGCAGGCACTGAAGGTTGTAATTCAAGAAAATGTTTTCCTAGAAAGAACTTTGTACCTAAGATTCTTAGCTTGAGCAGATCTCAAAAGTCTTTTATCTCTGATTACTAAAAATGGTTGGCGTTTTGTAGCAACTCCTTTGACAAGAATTTTGTTGAAATATTTAGCCTCTGTAGATTCAAAGCTGTGAGGAACTATATTCTTAAAACATTCTTATAAAATTGGCTTCTTCTTCTTCTTCTTTTTTTTTTTTTTTTGCAGTTTTCTTGGCTGGGGCTGGGTTTGAACCCGCCACCTCCGGCATATGGGGCTGGCGCCCTACTCCTTTGAGCCACAGGTGCTGCCCAAAATTGGCTTCTTGGAAGTTCAATTGATAAGAACAAAAGGAGTTTGGGGGACCTCATTTTTTCCCCCAGAACACTTCTTATTTTTGTATAGAAAATTATCAGCTTTCATAATCACCATTCAGTATTGAAACATTTCACTCTTGCAATAATAAGTGTACATTTATACATCAACCAACTGACAGACTTTCAATCTTCAAAGCACAGAGAAAGATTTTTCACTCCCAATTACTTTTAGAATGCTTACATATGTTTGAAAACGATTATTCCAATGCTACCATTAAATCACAATGGCATGCCTGTTCATGATTCTGAAAGGCAGGTTAATTCAATATGATAGTAGCCTACACGTGATCACATGATCATCGATTATGCCCAAGTTCAGGGATGCCGAAAATGATGTTGAGCTAGGCATTTAGCCATTCAACTTCACAAGATCATAATGGAAGTTAAAGAGCTAATTGTGGCTGAATAGAAGATTCCAGCAGAACATTAAGACTGAATCCAACCTTCGGGCATCCTTCTGTCTCCTTCATTCATCAGGCCTTAGCTCTATTCCATTTTCTCTAAAAAGCCTTCTGCACCTGTTCCCACCCACACTGAAATAGCATCCTAGGGGCTCTTAGTGACGCTGTGGACGCCCTCGCTATGTACTGACCTTGTAGTTCCTTGAATTCCCACTGTGGCTGGGTACAGTCACTGCTTTCACCAGCACCTCTGTGGTGCAGCCTGGCCCCTCAGCCCCTTGGGTACCTTCCTTGCAAAACTCAAACCGCAGGTCAACCCAGCAGCTCCCTTCCTGCCTGTAGGCTGTGGACATAAGCCCACACCATGAAGCTTAGCATCACCACCTACCAAGGCCAAGGTTTGCACATTTTTCCACTACCGTGGTAGTGGTTCCAAAGCTTCACTAGTCTTACCAGGTCTCACCCCCTGAGTGACACCCTGACTTCCCATCTGGCCTGCTCCCAGATCCTCAGAGCAGGAGGCCTTTCCAGGCTGCCCACATTCTGAGGCTCAGAGACTCCTTCTCAACCAAGCACCACCTGGATCCTGAATGGCTGTGTTCTCCAGGGTCGATGTTCCCCTCTCTCTCTGCACAATCTCACTTTCTCGCCCCCGTCCCCTTACTGTCTCATACAAGCTCCCAACTCCTCCAACTGCACCTCCACCTACATGCCCCCTCTGGGGCACTTGTAACCTAAAATGTCCAAAACCAGTCTCCATCTTTTCCTGAAGACCTGCCTCCCTTACTATCTCAGTTCCAAGCTTGTCATTACCCAGCACTCAAGACAAGAGCCCCAAGCCCCTCTCCCTTTCCCTTCGTGACTACCTCATCACTGAGTATTTCTCATATCTACTCTTTTTCTCTGGACCCATGTCTATTTTTAGCCCTTACCCAAACTACTGGAGAGTATGGCAGATTGTTTCCAAAGATGGCCCCCACCATTGCCTCCCATCCTGCATGCTTTCTGCCTTGAGACTGTGTAGTTCCTCACCTAGGGTCTAGGATGCTGGTGACCGGCTCTGAGTGATAGAATGCTGAAGTGACACCACGTGGTTTTGAAGACTAGGTTCTAAGAGGCCTCATCACTACGAGGTTCTCAGTTCTCTCCCTCTCCTCTCCAGCCACCATGCTCTAAGGTATCCCTGTCCACAGTAATGGGGGATTCAGAGCCCTGGCCCCTCATCTGTCTGACCCCAATGCCTGCCACCCAATGGTGTACTCCATGCTCTGTGATTCCAGGCTCCTGGAGGTTCTCTGAGCTGGCTGGATGCTTCCCTGCCATTGCTCCCTGATGGCTGGGATGACCTTCTTCCCCACTCACTTTGTCTGGCTCACTTGGTCTCAGCCTCCGGGCCCCAGTTGCTGTGCTCCTAAAGTATGCTGGTCTCACTCCAATCACACCTGACACAGCACATGGAAACAGCAGGATTCACACTGATTTTCCCCATTGACCATGGGTACTAAAGGTCAAGACTAGATTTTTTTCTGTCAGTGTACCCCCACTGCCTACCCCCCATGGTAGACACTCAGTAAGTGTTTGTTAAATTAAACAAAATTCACTAATTCTGCTTCAGCTGTTACTATCTTTTACCATCTACTGCTGTTCTGTGACTGGTATCCTTGCCCAAAGGAGAGCACGAGCACCTTGGGCAAAGGACTGCATCTTTTACAGCCAATGAGTCAACAGACAACATTGTCCAGCTTCCAGGTGTGGCCAGGTGACTTCAGGCCCTCTCCATGGTACTCACAGGTGTGGAAGGGGGTCCGGTCAGGCAGGGAGCGGGTTTTCCTTCGGATAGGCAATGACTTTTCCATCTCTTCTTTCAAGATCATCTTTCCTAGGTTGGAAGTAACCTGAGGAGGGGAAATGGAAGATTCAGGAACTCATTCCTCATCCCCAAACAGCCTGGAGTTGGGTGTCCTGCAGGCAGGCGAGGGGCACTTTCCAAGGTAGCTGGTTCATGCTGTGGCGCCCACAGACCCTCTTACTCTTGGCTGACATGTGCCCATGTTGGGTTTGCTCACCCTTGAGAGCAGAGTCAGAGTACTTGGTGGAACTTTACCCTGGTGGCCTCCCTGTCCCAGGTCATCCTGCCTGGGAGCATAAGTCCATGTCACAGTCAATGACCTTTCCATGGCTCTTGATATACCCTCTCCTCCCCTGGGGGCCAGGCTCTCTTTTATTCTCTTCCCATAAATTTCTCAGCCCGGTGAAGGCTGACACAGGTGGAACCACCCTTTTCTGTGCTTTTAACCCTAACATCAAATAGTGTGTCCCGTGAAAGCAGCATAAAGCTCAGGTATCTCTTTGAAAGCAAAAACCTGGAACCCTAGGAAAGAAGAGATAGCTCACATGTTTTTTTTTTTCTTTTTGAGACTAAATCTCACGTTATTGACCCTGATAGAGTGCTGTGGCATCATAGCTCATGACAACCTCAGATTCTTGGGCTCAAGCGATCCTCTTGCCTCAGCCTCTCAAGTTCCTGGGACTATAGGTGCCTGCCACAATGCCCAGATATTTTTAGAGATGGGGTTTTGCTCTAGCTCAGGCTGGTCTCGAACTTGTGAGCTTAGATGATCTACCTGCGTCAGCCTCCTGGGGTGCTAGGATTACAGGCATGAGCCACCGTACCTGGCCTGCTCAAATGTTCTAACGAGGACCTTTTTTTGGCATGAATGACTTTAGCTAAAGAGCCAGAATTTCTATCTCTAAGAAGTCACAGGGTGGCGGGGGGAGATGCTACCTTACTGAGTTCCTCTTTCTGACGCTCCCTGAGAGCCTTCATCTCCTCCCCAGAGTCATCATCTTCCTCCTCCTCCTCTTCCTCTGCACCCTTCCGAGATGCCTTCCGCTTCCTCCATTCTGTCTCTAGGAGACACAGGCAAAAGTAGGCACAGCAGTCAGTCCACCACTGGCTCAACACGCATTTATCATGCTTTGTGCACTGTCTTGGGAGGTGCCTCGAAGAGGCCACAACAGATTATTTTTTTAAATAAAGTAAAATGAAATAAGAGTAACATTTCTTTGCCTCATTGTGATGCTGGGGAGGCAGAACACACACACACAACTAACATGCACTAGAGACCACCCCTTTTCTATCTTTCTCATTCCCAGAGGTCCTATCACAGAGCCTGGGATATAGTTTGGTAAATGTCTGTTGATTCATCAGATAAATGAATGGAAAGTGAATGAATGATTAGCAAACAGAGCCACTTATACCAAGTGCTATAGGAATGCAGGGAGTGTGTGAGCAGTGAGCCCAGGGGCTTGAGGAGGTGGGAATCGCCTATACAGATGCCATAAGACCCCTCTTCCCCCCCTCCCCTCATCTCTCCTACCCACAACAGCCAGAGAAGGGGGGCACGGCCAGTAGTCGGTTTCTATCTTGGCTGGCTGGTTGGGGTCGGGGGGCTGGGCCGCAGGGAACTTGGATGACTCGATGATGAGGTCCTCGATGAGGTGCTTGCTCTGAGGGCTGCCACCCACGGACTCTGCAGGTGGAGGCCAGGGTTAGCCAGGCAACCTGCAGCCAACCTGGCCCACCCTTACCCTCCCCGGCCCTTCAACTCCTGCACACCCAGGCTATGCCGAAGAAGAGAGGAATGCACAAGAGGAGTGCTGGGCAAACATTTTCCCATCCCCTTCCCACCAGCCCCCAGCATCATGGCCCCCTTCAGGCCAGGGAGACCCTCACCTCTCTGCTTATAGATGGGTGGCTTCTTGTAGATGTTGGAATCCGGGCGGGAGGTCTCTGTGGGAGGGAGCGAGGGCAGGTAGGTGAGGGCCTGTGTGGGCAGCGTGGGAGGCTAGGTACATGAGAATGGGGGCAAGGGAGAAGGTGGGAAGTCACTGGCTCCTACCCAGAGCCAGGACAGAACAGGGAGCTCTAGGCACCATCCCTCAGGGGCTTGGGACTTCCTGCCATTTGTGGACTGGAGGATGGGAGGAAGTGACAGGCCACCATCTTTAGGGCCCATTCATGTCTATGTTGAGAATGTACTCCAGAGAGAAGGAATTTGGGGTGCCTGAAGGAAAGAAGAGGTCTTGGCAAGGCATGCAGCAATGTTGACAAGACCTACCAGGGTGGTGGAAATGGGGCAGACTGGTCCGGGGGGTTCCAGTGGTTCTTGGGGCTGAAGCCTGAGGGAAGATTCCAGGCGTCCGGCTCTCTGCCCACACCTGCTGAGGACAAGCCTAGGATCAACCACGGCTCCCTCCAACCCCCACATACTGATTTCCCCCATGCAACCCTGCTCTGTCCTCCCACCCTGGCAGCCACAGCCCCTGGCTCCAGGGCAGTGCTGTGGCAAGAAAGTAAATCCAGGGACTTAGTGTGCCAATGAGACAGTGCATGGACCAGGGAGAAAGGGACAGATGAGGCCCTAGGTCAGAATGAGTGATGGGTGCAGAGCTGGCCAGTCATCTGCTGGGCCCTGCAGAGTTCCTTGTGGGCAGAGGCGGGGGAGAGGAGCTGGGGGGTCCTGCAGAGCAAGGCGGAGCAAGTTTCCATAGAGGAATAGACTCACCTCTGGGGATGGTGGTGGGGACGTGGATTTGGGCGACAGTGAGCGCTGTGAATGGAGAGGGGAGGATTAAACTCTGGTCCTAGAACCCCAGGGTCCTGCTTCATCTCCCATCCAACTCTGTACCCTTTCCTGGCCTGTGTCTGGGCCACCTCTTCTCTTGGGTTCTTGTCAGTTCCCAGTGCTGGCCTTCCCTCCTTCTCAGCACTGTGGGCAAAGTCCTTAGTCTTCCCATAGGAAGTAAGGTCACTTACAGACCTGGGAGCAGTGTGCATGGTGGTCTGAGGGCTGGGGGAAGAACAGCTATGGCCCTGTCCTTGGAGTCTGGCAAGGAATGGAAGGGACAGGACCGAGGCGTATCCAAGGGCAGGTCTGGCTTCTCCTCCCCACAGTCCAGCCCCAGGACACTCCCCAGCATGGCGCTGCCCCCTTCTTGAACACAGCTGATAAAGTACCTGCCTGTAACCTATCTCCTGCACCTTAAGTACCTCATGGGTAGACAAGAAAGGGATTTTACAGGGGGAGGGGGAACTAAGCTACAGTGTCACACAGGCCCCTCAGCTAGGACTTTCTTCCTCCACGTTCAGTGCTTCTGAGCTCTTTGCACAAAGTTTACCCTTTCTGCCCACTTCCGTCCTCTCTTTCATGAGCCCCTGTGCTCCTTCGGTGTAAATGTGCCTATCCCCAGCACAGCTGGCTCTCCCTGCTCTCAAGACACTGGCTGATCCCACAGCACAGCTGCCTCTGTTTCAGGTCTCCAGGACAGAAAGCACGGGAGGGGTCCATCTACCACCAGTGGCGCTGCAGAGCCCTCCCCAAATGTCCTGCCAGAGAGGACCCCCTCTCACCTCCCGGCTCCTGGACAGCTCCACGTGTTCCAGGAGGGAATAGGTGAAGTGGGGCTCGTAGATCATGAGGTCGGGCCGCTCGATGTCCAGGATGGCCTTGTCCTTGGGGATGGCTGCCAGGTCCTTGTAGCCCAGCACCTGGTTATCCATCTTGGCCTGAAGGGAAATGGTGCAAGTGAACAATGTCCCCAAAGCCTTATAGGATACTGGCCTTCCCAGCTATACCTGCTGGTTATTACGGAGAAAACAGGCGTCAGGTTAGATGTGAACAATCTGATTATTTTCATTTATTTTATTTTTTTTTTTGAGACAGAGTCTCAAGCTGTTGCCCTGGGTAGAGTACCATGGCGTCACAGCTCACAGCAACCCTAAACTCTTAATTGTTTTGCTTCAGCCTCCCAAGTAGCTGTGACTACAGACGCCTGCCACAACGCCTGGCTTTTTTGTTGTTGCTGTTGTCATTGTTGTTTTAACTGGCCTGGGCTGGGTTCGAACCTACCAGCCTCGGTGTATGTGGCCGGCGCCCTACCCACTGAGCTATGGGCGCCGCCCCTATTTTTATTTTAAGAGTTTATGGAGTCACCTTAAGCAACATGACAGTCCTTCACCTAGCATTTTCGGTGCCGTGAGACCAGACTAGGGCGGGGGGGATGGGGGTGCCTGTCTGGATTTCTGGGATTCCCCTGACGGCCAGCACTGGCAGGACCACCCCTTAGGGGGCTCAGAGTGAAGCCCCGGGCAGCCAGCGGTCCCCGCCCACCCTGCTCCCAGCCAGAGAGTGCTGGTGGCCGAGAGGGGTACTCACCAGGATGCTGGAGGGAGAGCCAGGCACACTGGAGTCTCGGGAGGAGCTGACGCTCCCAGGGGAGGTGAGTGGTTGCTGGGGAGAGCGAGAAGGCGGGCGAGTGGGGATGTGCGTGGGGGCGAGGGCGGGGCGGGCGGCCCTAGGCCTGTGGGGACCCGGGGCATGGCGCTGCGGACAGCCACCAGGTGGCGCCCTTCGACTCCCGAGCAGCCCCCCACCCAGCCCAGGTGCCCCCAGCGCACCTTCTGCAGCCGCTCCATGCGGCTGGCGCTGGCGGGCGGATCACTCGCGGAGCCCTGTGCGCGAGGGGAGAGGACAGGGTGTCAGGCCCAGCCTGGCTCCGGGGCGCTGTGCGCTCGGGGCCGCGAAGGCAGTAAGCGCGTCCCACCGGGCTGTCGCGTCCTCATCCCTCAGCGGGCGGCGACTCTCAGGGCTGCAAGGAGAAAGGAGGGAGCCCGAGCCGGGGGCGTCAGGAGCGGGGCCTCGGCGGCCGGGGCAGGCTCTCTCCAGGCGGCCAGGCGCCCTCGGCCTGGAGAAAGCAAAGTTCGGGTGTGGAGGGGAGGCGGCCAAGTGGACCGGCTGCACTTGTTTTTGAGCCATTGTTCTCTGGCTCCAAAGGAAATGACGGCAGGAGTCAGCGGCTTCCCAGGGCGGCGTGGCTGCCACATCCCCCGCCTTGGCGCACCTGCCCTGCCAGCCCCGGAGCGGGGAGCCCTCTGTCGGGTCCTCACCCTGCCCGCCCTGCGCACCCCGCCGCACATCCCACCTCCCTAATCTGCTGTCCTGCAGCCACTGCTCCCTCATGCTCGCCCAGAGAGGCTTAACTCCGAGGGGTTTAGCGATAGAGTCTGAGCATCCCTAACCCGAAAATCCGTAATCCACAACCGGAAACTTTAGTTCTACGTGACGCCACAAGTGGAAAATTCCAGACATGAGAATTTAACAAAGACTTTTGTTTCACACACAAAATTACTTAAAATGGTGCATAAAATTACCTTCAGGGTAATATACACGAATTTCGCTTTAGATTTGGGTCCTATCCCCAAGAGCATGGACTGGAGACCAGCATGCCTGGGCTTGGGTACTGATTCTGATACTCAGATGCTGTGTGACCCTGGGCAAGTTACCTACTCTCCCCGTGTCTCACACTTCTCATCTGTAAAGTGGGGGATAGTACCTGTGTCATAACAGTATTGGTCTGAGTATTGGGTAAGTTATAACAGGTGATGTGTTTAAAACATTACACACTATGTAGAGTGTTCGTTGTTACTATTTCTACCACCCCAGGACTGATACACTTAGGTCGCAAGGAGAAAGGAGGGCGTTTGGGCAGGGGGTGTCATTGCTTTGGCAGCAGGGGCAACCCCTCTCCAAGTGACCAGGCCTGCAACACATGACACATAAAGGTCACTAATATTCCCAGTCTTATCATATAGAGTTTGTATTAGGTCAGCGGTTCTCAACCTGTGGGTAGTGACCCATAGGAACTATATTAAGGAGCTATGACATTAGGAAGGTTGAGAACCACTGTATTAGGTCATCCTGCTGGTCCCTCTACCACCAAAATTGTCCACCTGGCAGGCCAGCAGCAACCTTGCCCTCACCTTTCTGCTTTTGCCCACACTTCGCCCAGCTCTGTTCACCTCTCTGCCTCCCAGATGCCATCCATCCTTCAAGGCCTATCCTAAACCCACTTCTTCTTTTTCTTTCTTTCTTTCTTTCTTTTTTTTTTTTGGAGAAAGAGTTTCACTTTGTCACCTTGGTAGAGTGCCGTGGCATCATAACTCCCAGCAACCTCAAACTCTTGGGCTCAAGCGATTCTCTTGCCTCGGCCTCCCAAGCAGCTGGGTCTACAGGTGCCCACCACCACGCCTGGCTATTTTAGAGATGAGGTCTCACTCTGGCTCAGGCTGGAGTTATATATTTGTATATAGTATATATTTGAAGAGGTTTATTGATCTCAAACCTGTGCTCTCAGGCAATCCACCTGCCTTGGCCTCCCACCTCTCCTGGCTGCCTAATCCCATTTCTGTGGGAGGCCTTCCCTGCTAGTCTAGTCCTCCCTGATAAACCCTTCTCTGAATTTCAGGGGGACATAAAAAGAGACCTATGTAACTAAGCCCTTGGTTGTATGCTGCCAGACATGAGAACATGTATTTTCCCCATCTAGACTGACTTCCGGAGGGCAACAATAATTAAGAACTCTTATCTTTTTGAATACACATTGCATGCTAGGTACTTTGAGAAGCAAGGATTATTTTGTTGCATCACCACAACAATCATATAAGATAAACTCATTTTACAGATGAGGAAAACGCATCTCAGAGATGTTATAAACTTGTCCAGAATTGTGGAGCTGAAAACAGCTGTGTCTTCAGCACAGACATGACATACTGTGGCTAGGTAGCACTGTGTCAGGGCTCAGGGTGGACAGCACCTAGCCAGTTTCTCATGTCTTTTGGGAATTCTAGAACCATGGTATGTCCAGGACAAGACTCTGGCCATCCGAGTTACAATGGGTATTTGGTACCCATGTTAAGACTCCACTGCAGAGCTTCATACTTCTCTTGCCTTCTTAGTGTTCACTTTGACATGTTTTTAACTAGGCATCTGAGGAGCAGAAGACATTTTAGTATATATTTGAAGAGCTGTTAGCTCCCTCTTACTCCTCTCTTATCTTTACTTTGTTAATAGCCATTGCTCTGCATTTGGTTTCATTTTCGTGGCAAATATTAATTCACTCATCCATCCATCTGTCCATGCATCCATCCATCCATACATCCATGCATCTATCCATACATACACACATGCATCCATCCATCCATCCATGCATCTATCCATCCATCCATACATACATCCATGCATCTATCCATCCATCCATCCATGCATCTATCCATCCATCCATCCATGCATCTATCCATCCATCCATGCATCTATCCATCCATCCATCCATCCATGCATGCATCTATCCATCCATACATACATACATCCAT